GCCAATGGGGAGGTTATGGCTCTACCCTGTCACACACAGAGCAAGGCCCATGGAGGGGGGTTGGGGCGCCACCCTCTATTACCCACAAAGCAGGGCCGATCAGGGGGTTGGGGCACCGCCACTGTCACACTCAGGGCAGGGCCGATGGAGAGGTTATGGTTCTACCCTGTCACACACAAAGCAGGGCCCGTGGGGGCGGGGGTTTGGGGCACCGCACCCTGTCACACGCAGAGCCGCAGGGCAATCGGGGGATTGGGGAGCTCCCCCCCTATCAGGCACAGAGCAGGGCTGATCAGGGGGTTTGGGCGCTGCCCCGTCACGCTGAGCCCGGTGCCGGGAGCCTCACTGCTCCGCTGATCCCGGTGCTGGGAGGCATATTACCCTTTTACTATATAGGATAGAGGCCTGGTGCATGGGTAGGGGCCGGCTGGTTTGCCCTGAAGGGTGTTCTGGATCAGGGTGGGGGTCCCCACTGGGGTGCCTGGCCAGGCTGGCTGAGGGGCTGAGAGCTGTTTTCCCGCTGGCAGTTGACTAAAAGCTCCCAACTGCTCCTTGTTTTCTTTTTTTTTTTTTATTCTGGGCCAGCTTTAGCTCTGAGGCCTCACTGCTGAAAACATGGATACAATGTTGCGGTCCGGGGCTGACTGAAAGCTGGTTTTGTTTAGCTTCTTATTTGCAACATAGTAATAGTTGCTTAGAGTTGCAGTTGAGAGACCGGCAAGTCAGGCGGGGAATGTTGGAGTCTGCAGTCCCTGGAGGAAGCAAGCCTCCCTGCTCGCTTCAGTGCATGGCTGCTGGCCGCCATCTTGGCTGACAGTTAATTTGCATAAGGATACACTGATTAGCCAATGGGAAGGGTAGCGGTCGTACGCCAATTACCATATTTCTCTTTTATTAGTGTAGATAGCATACATTTTTAAAAATAGCCAAATTGACCTGGGTAAGTGTGCAAAAGAGTGAAGAGTCAGCAAACTCTCTCTTGGTCACATACATCTATTTTTCAAACTATAACATCTAGGAGAACTTCAAACCTCTTCTCATAAAGTATAGGAAATAATTTGAAACAAATTTGAAGAAAAACTTGGAAATAAACTAGTCCAAAGATGCTAATAATATTTACTTAAAGGAGTGTGTGTGTGTGGGGGGGGGGGGGAGTATGTGTTTAAATCTAAGCTGAGATTTTATTTTCTTTCTATATGACTAGAGTTGTCTGTTGTTTAGAAGGCAAGTTAAGATTATGGTTGGGTGTAAGTGAAGAAATAATGGTATGAGTTAAGGAGGGAAGGGAAGAAATAGAATGGCAAACACAGGCAGCCCAGTTTTCCTACCAGATGAGGTCACCAGAAAGGGATCCAGGGTAGAATTTCTAACAATTGCTAATAATAATGATTATAATAGCAAACAATAACATTGCTTGTACTATGTGCAAAGCCAGATTAAATGATTTTGATGTATTAAAAAATTTAATAAAAAATAGCCTTATAAAGTATGTGTACAGTATCATCAATATTTAATAGATAAGAAACTATAGTTCAGAGACTCTATAAGTAACATTCCCAAGTTCACACAGTTAATAGTATAACCAAGGAAGTCTGGCTCTTGTCTGGCACTGATTCTTGGAAAGAAATGCTGTATATCTCAAAGGTTTCACTGTGCATAAATTCCACAGAGAACAGGCACAGCAGAATGTGTCTGTTGGAGATGCAAATGCTGGCTACCTCTTTTTAGAAGACACAATTACCTACATTTTGGAAAGCAATCTGATTTATTATAAAGTATTCAGAATAAGAGACACATGGTTCAAATCCCAGGAATAATCTTATTACTTCCAAAGCAACTGAAAACAGTGAATCACATTTGATGTTCTTCTGTATTTGCATTTCCAAGATGGAAAAGATGACAGACATTTCATAGGATGTTACAGAATTAAGGTATATGATGCTTGTGGAACTTTCTGGCAATGCATATTTGTTAAATGAATCGATAAGTGACTTCAGGATTGATAAGCACCAAGAAGGAAAATTAGTCAAGAAAAGGCAGGTTAGAGTGGTAGGCTGCTAAATGAGATGTTTACAGAGGAAGCAATATCTTCAGCAGAAAGTCCATTTTACTAGTAAGTAAAGAGGAGGGTCAGTAGCATTTGGAGAAGAGGTTAGCAGATGGACCAGGTTTATCGCCTAATTATCAGGAGTTATCAGCCATGTGGGCAGAAACCTCTGCGATGACTCAATTTTAGGTTCTCAGTGAAGAACAGGCAAAAATAAAGTTTAATCTCCTGACTCATTCTTAAGGATTTCAAGTCAGTTTTGACAATGACAGAGACCTGCAGCCTATTCTTGGGGCTATGGGCCATCTCTTGGAAGCCTCATAAATCACTAAGTGCCCAGGCTATATTTCCCTGCAGTGATCTATTTTTACAAAATGACTAGGCCTAAATCTCTCTCTTTTTATTTTCATTTGATTTCTTTTCATAATGGAGCAGTAAAATTGTTGAAACAGAAGGCTGAAGGATCTAATTTCCTGAGTTGGGATCCCGGCTCCACTATCACTTAACTGTGTAAGTGAACTATTTAACTTATTTGTGTACCAGATTTCATCACCAATAAAATCTAACTCAGTGAAGAGTAAGTACAGTTGACTCTTGAACAACTCGAGGGTTAGGGACATAGATCCTCTGCACAGTCGAAAATCTGCTTTTAACTTTTGACTCCTTCAAAATTTAACTACTAATAGCCTAGCAGTTAAAAATAGGAATTTTTAAAAACCAGAGCCTGTTGACCAGAGCCTTGTTGATCACACAATCAATTAACACATATTTTGTATATTATATGTATCATCCTATCTAATGAAAGAGAAAGATGCAAATTGACCATTGCCCCGAATGCTTCCCATTGGCTAATCAGCATATCCTTAAGCAAATTAACTGCCACCAAGATGGCGGCTGGCAGCCATGCACTGAAGCGAACAGGAGGCTTGCTTGCTCCAGTGATGGAGGAAGCCAAGGTTCCCTGCCTGCTGCTGCCGGCCTCTGAGCTGCAACTCTAAGCAACTATGTTACAAATATAGAAGGTAAACAAAACCCCAGAAACCTGCTTTTAGCCAGCCAGGCTTCAGCCAGCAGGATCGCAACAGTGTTACAATTATAGAACCAAAACAAACCAGATACCTGCTTTCAGCAGCCGAGGCCTCAGAGCTGGAGCCAAGCCTCAGAGCTAAAGCTGGCCCAGAATAAAAAAAAAAAGAAAAAAAGGACCGGTTGGGAGCTTCAGTTACCTGCCAGCCTGAAAACAGCCCTCAGCCAGACTGGCCAGGCACCCCAGTGGGGACCCCCACCCTGAAGGGGTGTGATCAGATGCAAAAAGCCATCATCCCCTCATCCAGGCTGGCCAGGCACCCTAGCGGGAC